TACTTTTGTAACTGAAATGGGCTTGTACTGTTATAAGTTATGCCCTTTGGTTTAAAAAATGCTGGAGTGACCTACCAGCACCTTGTAAACAAAATTTTTTTCTTATTGAATTGGACATAAAATAGAAGCATGATTTGATGATATGGTTGTGAAAACCCGATTTTCAAACTCCATAATTTCTGACCAAGATTGCGATTTTGACTTTTTAAGAAAGTACAACATAAAGCTCAACCCGAACAAGTACATCTTTGGGGTCACGTCAAGCAAGTTCCTCAGGTATATAGTGAACTGATGTGGTGTCGAAGCCAATCCAAATAAAATCTAGGTCATCCTAGATATGCAGCCCCCGAGGTTGATTAAAGAATTTCAAAGGTTAACAGGACGGATAGCCGCCCTGAACCGGTTTATGTTGGGTGGTGTCTTCTATTCTTTAAGGCCATAAAAAAGAACCAAGACTTGCAGCGGCGGTGGCGGGAAGACAGGGCGGAGAGAGAGAGAGAGAGAGAGAGAATAGGGAGGGGTAGTTTTGACTTTTGGCCATGTCTGAACGCGTTAAGTGACTGGCCTTAGTCTAAAATTTTCATATCTGAAAAAAGTTTTCAAACCCTATTTCAGATGCAACACCTAACAAGGGTGGCATCTAAAAAGCAACATTTTCAAAGGAAGCAACTTCTCGTTCAAAGGAAGCAGACTTCTTTTTACAAACATATTAGATGTCATGAAGGGAATTGGAGTTAAGGGTGTTCATTGTGACAGCTTTTTTTCTTTAACTTATTTCTTAAGAAAAGGATGTTGAAGCTTCTTTCTCCATGTCAAAGAGAAGAAACAAAGAATTGGGAGAAATGCACCCTACTCGTCTGTGAAAAAGAAAATAAAAGTTTTAGCCTTTTCTGTGAAAGAAACTTCCTAAAGGCAACTCCTCTATGCTTTATGAGCAGCGACGTTGATGAAACATGGGACAGAGTGAGAGAAAACTAAGGGAAAGAAAAAGGAGAGAGGTCTGAGGTGGAGGGGGTCGTTGTTGCAACTGCGATGATGAAATGAGGGAGAGAGAACGAAGGGGAAGAAAAGGGAGAGAGGTCGGAGGTGGAGGGATCCGCTGCTATAGTGGCAGTCATTAAACGAGGCAGAGAGAGGGAAGGAAAGAGGGAGGGAAGGAGGGGCTAGAGGTGGAGAAGGATATCACTACTACTAATTAAGGACCGAGTCAAAACATGATTTGCCGCTGTTGAAAGGAAGAAGGCAAGGGGTAAAATTGGGTATAAAAAA